AAAAAAAAAGTCCGAGCCCACCGCACGCAGACACAAAATTTCGTCGGCCAGCCACGCCTCCACGCCTCCCTCGCTGCATCTCATGTGGAGCTGTGGGCGCGAAAATGAAGCATGTGTTAGGCTCGCTCTCACTCACAGGTCCAACTATTCGACCGACGTGGATACAGCGCTCAATCGATGGTATGAAGAGGTCAAGAGGCGGAATCTATTGATATTGATGATGCGTTAACGATCACGCGCTGCTAGAGAGGCAGAGAGGCAGAGAGGCAGAGAGGCAGAAAGAGGCAGCACACTACTGCTTGTCGGCAACACCCTCGTACGAGCAGATAGCCTGGACCTTGGCAGCCGAGGCGCTCGAGGTGTCGAACTTGTCCCCGAGCCACTCCTTGGCGAGCTTGCGGGCGAGCTCGAGGCCGACGACGCGCTGGCCCATGCAGAGCACCTGTGCATCGTTGGAGAGGATGGCGCGCTCGACCGAGTACGAGTCGTGCGCCGTGACGGCACGCACGCCGTTGACCTTGTTGGCGGCGATGGCGACACCGAGGCCCGTGCCGCAGATGAGCAGCGCACGGTCAACCTCGCCGCTGGCCACCTTGCGTGCGGCGGTGACGGCGACGTGAGGGTAGGCCGTCTTGTCCGCGTTCGACGGCACACCGACGTCGATCACCGACTCGACACGAGGGTCGGCCTGGAAATCCTTGATGAGCGCGTTCTTGTAGTCGACACCGGCTTCGTCGCAGCCGAATGCGATCTTCCACTTCTGAGGGGCGGCCATTTTTGATGCTCTCGAGGTTGATTGGCGGGGCGGGTTGATGAATCGGTTTGCGGGTATGTTGGTCGAGAGGAAAGGGAAATGGTAGAGGCTGTCGGTCTTCTGATGTATGCCCGTCAGTGACTCGCTGGTCCGGGATCCTTTCGCCACTCGTGGTGCAGTGGGCCCCAGCTGACTGCCGCTGCCACTGGGAGCCTGCGCCAATGCTGAGCCTGAGCCAGCTCTTGCATGGCTCGTCGGCGTTTTCCGATTCGGCCTTGAACGTGCGTTTGTGGGCACGACTGTGGAGGGCAGCGCGTTTGTGTGGGGGCGGGCGCCTGCAGCTCTGTGTGGGAGAGGCGCAGAGCGCTATGGCTCGAGCTCGAATTTAGCAGCGGGGCATCCGGCATTTCAGCTCGAATTCCCACCGCGCTGAGCGGAAATCCTCGGCGTCTTGTCGCTCAGGCCCGGTTTG